CTGAAAGCGTTTCTTCGCCATCTCTTTGACGTTTTGAAGGCGGTGCCTAGCAGAAGTCGCCCAGATTTACCCCAAAGAGAAAGGACAACTGAGCCTCCTCCATAACTCTTCTTCTCTCTGCGCACAATTGCAGTTTGAGCCGAAAGCGTCCAATGCAAACTTCTTTGAGCATGGGCCACCGGTCAATGCAAACAGCATTGTCCATCTTGCAAATGGTAACGATGCTCTTGGGTGCAGGCCTTCCTGCAGAGTTGCTTTCAAGGCTGAAGGGTTTCGGGGCCGGCAACGCGCGAGATAAGCTACCAAGGTCCGAACTCTGAACCGAGGGCCTTGCAAAAGTGGAACGGTCTCAAGAACCTCTCACCTGTGGACGCATCGGTTCAACCGAGCGGGCAATATGCCCGTATCCCAGCGGGCCGGCTCCGTCTTTGCGACGGCCCTTGACACCAGCCATCTTTCAGCTAGAGGATTCCCTGGTGTTGGAACCATTGTGAGTTGTGAGGAGCTGGTGGTTGGAAGGCGGATGGCGGATCTTGAACGTGCAAATAACTCATTTTGCCCAATACTCAGCTATCCAAGGCCTACTGTTTGACCTCTTCGGCTTCACGAGTTTGCTTCAAGAATCCATCCCAAACAAGCTACTCTCTCAGCATGTGCCGAGCCAGTTTCGGAAGCCAGCATCAAGCCCTTCCGTTTTCTCCCGAGCCATGTTTGCACCTTCACTTCCAACATGGTGTTGTTGCTACACTTGAAAGACGCGCTAACTGCCCTCGTCTCTGAAAGAGTATGCAACAGACATCTTCCTGCAACAGCCCTGCCCGGGCAACGAGCCTAACGGCCAAGCGAGCATGTGCGAAGCAATGGCAAGGAATACTTGCTGCAATGAGCTTGCATCAGGACCTCAGAGTCGTGATATTCATGCACCAGAATATGCTTCGAGCTCCACAAACCTTTTTCTGCAGTCTGATCCTACGTTGACAGTGCTTAATTGTCCTTTGGCAGCTAGCATGTCATTTCTCAGCTGAATTCGAGCCCCCATGGGCAAGGCTTTGTTTGTACTGGAGGCCCGGCTGCTGACTGAAAGCAAACAACAATTTGATGCAAAACTGGTCCCGCGCTACAGAGGGCACTGCCAGGCGAAAATACCTTGCAGGGATGCGCTCGGGTGAGATCTGCCTGGTCGAGGCTCCTGCCCACACGACATTGCCGCCGGACAAGCCTTGAAAGCCCAAGGTCTTGCCCAAGGTCTTGCCCACGAGCTACACTTCACATCCATACCGTCCATACCCCTTTCTACGTTAAGCCAGGCAAAAGTTCAAGCACAGGGCCTTAGGCCACTTGCGCAATACTAGCCGTAGCCTCGCAACACGCAATCCACGAAAACACCTGATTTCGACGTCCCGTAACCTCAATGCATCTGACTAAGCCGTTCAAACTGCATGTCCGAGCCTTGCTCGCAATACATCAGGGCAAACAAAAAAAGGGTGCATCACACCTCAACCTTCAGCAAGCTCTCTTACATCTCGGCAGTTGGTCCAGCATGCACGGGCCACATCAAGTGGACAGCATGTGGACGGTATGCAAAGCCCGTTGAGGGCATTCAAAGCTGTTTGCTTTGACAACACACCGACTCTTTGGACCTGCCGTCTATCCGAAGGTTGTGGTTGTAGTTGACCTGATGTACATCCGCCGATAGTCATCTGGGAAAAGTGCTTTCATGAATTCTTTGTCATCGATTCCGCCACTGGCATCCGTATCGAAGAGCTCGAACAGTTCTTCCGCTTCTGACGCACGCATGCCGACGTTCATCTTTTCTATCATATCCTCGGCTTGGCCCATCCTGGCTAAATCAACACGTGACTGACCAAAGTGTTGCTGGGCAGAGCATTACACCAAGTGACACAAAACTCATCCATGGTGAGCTCGCCATTGCCGTTGCTGTCAAACTTTCGGAAGAGGGATGGCATGTCACCTCCGCGCACGTCATGCCCATGGGGTGCATCGGCGCTAGCGCCTGTCTCATCCGTCCATTTATCTAGATTCAGACAAGGGACTAGCTTCGTAGCCATAGTTCTTCAGCCGCTGCCGTGTTCGAGTCATCAACAAAATTCGGGACCGGTCAGCCCATGCATGCGTCATAGCCTGCGGTGATTCAATGTCTCTTCGGTAGGTGAAACGGAGACGTGTATTCAAACATATCATGTGCATCGGGACGTCTTATCTCTTTCGTTTATGAACTGCCGTGCGCCTCACGCCTTATTCATGTCAAGCCACATTTCCCAGCACCGAAATCGGCATTGCCATGAATAATACGCTGATGAAGCATAACGCTCCGGCCAGGATCTTTCCCGAATTCGTCGAGGGCGTCACATCGCCATAGCCAACTGTTGTCACAGTAACGGTGCATATCCACATGGCAGTGCCAAATGAGTCGATGTTATCGGTAGGCTCCACCACGTACATCAAGGTTGAGAAAACCAGAACAATCACCTTGGAAGTGCCAAATGGTCCAGACCGATCGCACCAATGCACGCCCAGCACAAGCGTGCCTTCATCCTGTGGCCAGCGGCCAGGCACCAGAAGCAATGCGTTCATGCTTTCTGGCCTTTGACTGGTGAGCTGACTAAGCCACGGTGAGGCCAAGCTACAGACAGCAGAAACAGCAAGAGCTTCAAGGCATCGCCAGTGGATCTCAGCGCATGGGTCACGAGGCTGAGCTTGCCAAAGCGGCGCATCAGCTTCAGGAGCCGCAGTGTGGGCACTACCCCCACCTCGCGCGATGCGATCTGTGATCCGTTTCGTTGGTTTTCCGCAGGAGCTCGGACATGAGGCACTGAGCACCCGGCTAAGCAATAATGGCTGATCGGCTTTTGCAGAACTGAAGGAAGAACCAACTGCGCCTCCGCTCGAAGAATCAAGGGAAGCACAGTGGAAATATCAATCCACAGGTAGATGTCCTTCATGAGTGCCTCAGAGCGCCCAGGCTGCCAAATTTGCTTCAGCATCAGCGAAACTTGAAGGAAATGGTGTGATCAGGAATTTGTCATGGCTCCTGTCATGTATTGACAGGATCTTGCAGCATGCAGTGAATAACGCAAGCCGCAGGCCCTGATGCAAGCCCGAGGGCCTTTGCAACCGCAAGCTTGAGGCAGAAGCAAGCAGCTAAAACAGTGAGATGAACAAAAGTTGCAGCAGCAAGCACGCTAGATAGCAAGCAGCAAGCAAGCCTTTGCAAAAAGTGGTTGAGATAGACAAAAGTAGCCTTTTGCATGTTCCTCAACCTATGCCTGACCCCCCCCCAAAAAAAACAAAAAAAAAACAGAAAGAACAAGAAAAAACGCAGGCCTTCGAACCAAGCCGCCGATTTTCTGGGCTCCAGCAAAATATGAGCCAGCAGCTCAACGAGGAAAACGATTTCCACTCCGGCATCCACCAGACCAACGTACTGCCCCTGAAGTACTGGTGGATTGGTGGCCTGGCAGGTGAAACACGATTTGAAGAGGCCAATGTCAACTGCTTCAGGTAGGTAAGCTGCCCCTGCCAGAAGAATCCCGAAAAACGAGCCGGAGCAGTGTGCAGCAGAACGCACTCGACTTGAAAGAGGCAGGCCAAGCAGCAACCACAACATGGCTGCTTCAAGATCAAGATCACCAGTTGTGGAAAAATTAAGCAACGGCAGAGAGAATTGGCCCTGAGGCAAGTTGGAAGAGTTAATCACCCAACTGCGTACCACGGTCATTGCCCAGGATGGAAGACGAGAGCGGCTTTACTGATGGGACGACCCTGCAGAGTTGAGGAGCGAATGCCCCTGAGAGATTCTGGGCAAGGTAAGGAGCTAAGGCTAAATGAACCGTAGGCTGAAGCAAGATCCGTGGCTCAAAACCAAAATCAAAACTTTTTGAAGATATATCACCTGTGCGGGGGTTGTGGCCACATCGGGATTACAAAGGGATGGGGTGAACACGTGAGATCCCCACCGGTTGGCAGAGCTTGTCATTTTCGGCAGAGCTTGTCAATACAACATCTGGCAAGTTGCTGGCAAAGGTAGTTTGGGTCTTTGAAGTCGAGCAGATGTGCCTGACATCTGCGGTGCTTTGCTTGGAGACTTGCTTGACGATTGCCGAGTGGACCATTTGACCCTTTGATCTTCCCGCAGAACTTTAGCCTCACAACGCGATCCTGCCACTGGGGAATATTATATAACGCTGCGAAGCCCGTGAAAGAAACCATCCCACACTGTCAACCAGAGAAAAGAACTGATTGCGGTGTGGGAATGGCCTTTGCTGCTTGCAAAGCCTGCAGTGAGAGTTTAGAGAGCCGTACGCCTCTGCCTGCAGGGAGCGTAGTGACGGACAAGGGTGCCGCAGCCGCAGTTCTCAAATGAGAGAGAATGTGGAGCACACTCCCAGGTCAGGCTGTGAGTGCCTCCGTCTTGGTCATCATTGGCACTGCTTCGGAGCAATGCATTTGGCAGCATACATGTTGTAAAAGCGAGGCGAGAGATGGTATTTCAACCATAGGAACCCATCGCTCATGCGGTCTACGTGGGACGCAAGGAAGTTTCGCCTGAATCCTTCTTCTGCCAAGCCAAAGAGCCGCAGCCCGGGCTGGCGGGATTGCATCACAAGATTAAGACATCTAATGTTAACCCCGGATTAATCAACCCCGGGTTGATTTTGATGGGGGGGTGTCCCATTTTAGTGGGGAGTCATCACTTTTGGAGGGAACACCCCCCTAATAAAGGGACGGGTTCTACTTAGATCCTGGGTCAACATTACATGTCCCAGGCCATGGAACTCCTGCCCCGTTGGCTTTCCAGCCCTGCCTGTGATAAGGAGAAGGCAACAGCAGCCAGGATGAAGCCACTCCAAATCTTGGCGAACCAGCTGGCTGCTGTGCTGGAATCGGCATCCTTCAGGAAGAGCCTCCACCTTCCCACGCCCTGAGTTGGCTTGTCCTTGAAAAAGGATGGTAGTGACAATGCGCTCCCAAGCGAGCTGCGTCTGCTCGCTCGTGCATCCTGCCAGAATGATCTTGCAGCAATCAGACAAACGAGCACTCTAGCAACGTTGCCAAGCTATATAGTTGAGCAAGCAAACGGCTTGAGTGCGACAGTATC